GATAAAACCGCTAAAATCACGATTAAACCAACAAATCATTCAAACAAAAAATGATTTAGCTTAATCAGTTAGGTCAAAAGACTAACCAGCTTATACAAAAATTAATTAATTAAAACTTTTAAATTTTATTTTATTAAAATTTAAAAGCAATCTATTAATTTAAAATTAAAATTGACGCAATATAAATTTAAAATTATAATAATTTATCCCATGATTTATAAGTTTTAAATACAAATTTAAAATTATCATAATTATCTCATAATTTTTGTATTAAGTAGCAGTAAGAATAATGTGAGATTATTAATATATCTGTATATTTTACAAAATAATACTTTTAAGGAGATGTATTATGAGAATTTCAAAACCTCATACAAAATTATTTTTAAAATCAAAACATCTGTGAGATTGTAAAATAAAAGTTAAATTGAAGCTAACTAATGGGGATTTTCTTAATTGTTTTAATTAAGAAAATAAAAAAAAATAGTATCAGATATTGATCATTGGGTTTTTAACTAAAGATCTCTTTTTGCTTATATAAATGGGAGTATAAGATTCATTTTATTTAAGTGAAATAATTCACTTTTTCTTTCTTTTTTCAATGTGAGATTGTAAAATAAAAGGTAAATGGAAATTAGTCAATGAAAATTTTCTTAATTGTTTAAAATTAAGAAAATTCAATAATTTTAGAATGAAGGTTTGAAGCTCCTAGAATGTTTCTCCGTAAAAACTTCATTTTCTTTATATAATATATAGATAGATAGATAGATAAGGCTTCTCGCTAAAAATCTCTTTTTGCTTGTATAAATGGGAGTACAAGATTCAATTTATATAATAAGTGAAACAATTCACTTTTTCTTTCTTTTTTCAATGTGAGATTGTAAAATAAAAGGTAAATAGAAACTAGTCAATGGGTATTATCCTAATTGTTTAAATTAAGAAAATTTGATGATTTTAAAATGAGGACTTTGAGCTTCTAAAATGTTTTTTCCTAAAAATTTTATTTTCCTTATACAACATATAGATAGATTAACCTAAAAAAATCAAAAATAATCTTATGGCCTGAATACTTTTTTGCTATTAGTTTGAGTCATAACACTTAAAAGTCATAATCAAGATTGGCCTCGCCATAAAAATGATTCAAAAACAAATCCAATACATCTAATTCAAACAGAATGCTTAATGTAATGATTGGGCTTGCGTCTAGTTTTGAAAATGGACGGTATTGTCTAATCTGTTGTTGCTGTGGACTCACAACATAATTTATTTTGATAATTCATTTTGTGTCTCTTTTAAGTTCATGTGTGCAAATATTTCACCATCTAAAAAAAATATGTGTAAATATTTATTAAAAAAAATTAAATTAATTCGAGAATCATTCTTGTATGATTTCATATTCTTTGTTTGCAATATATTTTCAAACTCATGATTTTTTTAACGGTAAATTCAATGAATAAAATTATTGGATTTTTTTTTTTTTTAAATCATTAAATAACCTACAAATGGGCCTAAAAGATAAACATAGTGGGGCATCAAAACCGTATAAGCCCAGCTCCAAAAGAAAGGTGGGGGAGATAGCCCAATATTGGATTTTAATTTTAAATGCAAACTATATATAAAAATAATAATTGAAGTGTAGAATAATCAAACTTATTAAAAATAATGACAAACTATCACAAAGCTCATAAATAACTCATGTGCATGAATCGATAGTTACTACAAACAGAATTTTATTGATATAAACTCAAAAATTATATCAACAAACTCTCTATCCTTAACCAACAAAGGAACAAGTTTAATCAATACATAACTCCAAAAATAAAAATAAAAACCATGAAACTTCCACCATCACTTATTCACGCATGATCATAAATTTTGTCTTTAATTTTTTTATTCTTTTATCTCAATACATTCTTAATTATTGAATAATGTAAAAATTTCGACTCTCTATCCTTAACCAATGAGAAGGAACAAGTTTAATCAATACATAAAAAATAAAAATAAAAACCATGAAACTTCCACATATGATCATAGATTTTGTCTTTAATTTTTTTTTATTTTTCTATCTCAGTACATTCTTAATTATTGAATTATATAAAAATTTCAAAAAACATAAATTTATAGAATCATGATTAAATGATAGGGAGTATATTGAGATGGAAGAACATAAAGATTAAGGACAATGAACTTCGTGACACATACCGTGTTACTATTAAAATGTGCGGAAACAATGTGTAGGAATCAATGATGGGATGGTGTTTATTCCATGGGTGGGGTGGGGGATGGATAGGAGTCCTTTCCGGAGCATGAGCGTGATGATGCTAATGATAATGGTGCTTCTCTAGGTGATGGGTATGACCATGATCGTGATCCATGTCTGGAGCATGGGATGGAGCCTTGACTGGGGGATGGCCATGGGCCATGGGCTGGAGGGAGGGTAGGAACCATTATAGGTGCATAGGTTGGAACCTTAACAGGGACATGGGTTGAAGTCATAACAGGTGCATGGACAGGAGTCTTTATAAATGCATAGGCAGGATGTTGGAGCATTGGTTGGAGCCTACAATTAAAAAAAAAAAAAAATCCAATAAATCAATTAATCAATTTTTTTTTTGAGAATGAATTGATCAATTTGATTGCCTGATTAGATTTTATTTAACAAAATAAAACATCGGCTACTAAACTAATCATGAAATCCAATAATTAATGGAACTTATGCCTCAATGAAACAGACACCATTCTCAGCAACAATTTAAAGAACAAGCCAAGAATTACAATAATGTTTTGAAATTACCTCTGTGCCAATTGCCTCAACAAAATTTGGAACCTACAAAATCATAGTATATTGGTGATTTTCCAAAATATATATACATATATTAAGAAGAAAATTCAGGAAAAAAAAAAAACATATGATATCATCTAAAGTGTCGACTAAGAAAAAAATTTAAGGAAAAAATATAATTGACACTCTTGTCACATAGTTGTGTTGTGTCTTGCATGTGTCTCTGTGTATAAATCATAGAACATACCCTTGTGGTGACTGAAGGAGCAAGAAGCAAAAGAGAACGAACATAGATTTCTTCATTGCCATTCCAAGCAAAGGAATGAAAGAAGCAAAGATTGGGTGAGGAGCTGTGTCAAGTGATGAATTAGGCGGGTATGAAACTGCAGTATATATAATCTCTCTTTATAATAATAATAATAATGAATCATTAGATGCCGACTGTTGAATTGTCAGTTTTAGCTTCCCAGATAAACGCTCAGAGAAAATGCAGCTTTTCTATTTCTGGTTTTTTTAGGTTCAAATTTGACAGAGACATGCATGCTGAAGAATTTCTAATCCTAGGTTAATAAAATCTAATTTCATTAGACGAGGCATAACCAATTATCGGTCGATAGTTAGACAAGATTACCTTGTCAACAATGTGAAATCCGATAAAAATAAAAAATGTGAGTTTGTTGAAAGATCTCAATTCAACCAGTTGATTAATATGGTTCACAAATAAATTTGTTAGTTAAACCAAATGGGGTAGGTTTATTTGCAAAGTTTTGGAGTCTTTTGAACTGTTATATTCACAAATGATTAATTTTATGAAATTTTTTTTATTAAATCTATGTCCATACATATCATGTACGACTTGCCATGCATATTAATTATCAAAAACTGTAAACTTGTTCAAAATCAATATATATAGAACTTTTAAACCAGTCAGTCTCAATCCAAACAGACATATTTTTCAGAAAATTTTTATCAGACTGATTAGTAGGACAAACATCCCATTAAGTAAGGTAGGTATGTTCTGACATACTTTATAACAATTCTAAAGTTTCCAGCCGAACTGATGCGAATCTTGCTTCCCTAGGGGATTTGGAATCTACAGTAATAAATCAGTTACCCAGCAGGCCAAAGTGATGAGACTTGACACTCCTGTTGGCCCACGCCTTTCTTCATGCATGTTCATATTTTTGGTCTTGATCCATGAACTCACTATGTTTTGAAGTTAAACATTGCATTTGATCTTGTTTTGTAGTGGTTAGGTTAGTACACCAATGGAGAATCGTAACTTCTCGTTATATAGGAGATTAGGCACGAAATGTTTGGAATTGTGATCACTTAATCCTAGCTGTGATATTAATTCAATTGCTTGTTTACTTATGCCTTATTGAGAAAATTTTATGGATGTTTATTTGTACTCTTATTTGTACTGTCTGTTGACCTATGTCGGGAGTACCTTTCCTAGCCAGCTAGTGTTCCTTGGTTGGGAGCACAAGTGGTAGGTACATGACATCAAAACGGTACATATTTATTTTTTTGTAAGTTGATATTGATATGCATATCTTGTTAATCCAACTAACTGGAGGAAAATAGATCTATACAGTTGACCCCAAAGTAATTGAGACACAGTTGTTGATGAGTTGATGTTGCTATACTCTGCCAAGATGAAAAACATTAAATTTGTATTAAGATACAACTAATTTGGTTTACAATGGCCGAAAGTTCTCCAATTGGCCATTAGTTGAAGTTTTTAAGCATTGTCGTATCACCTTTAATCAAAAGTTAAAGTTCACTTGCGGACGTATGGAGTAAATGTCTGGTTTAAAGCATAGAGATACCATCTAAAAACATATATTTTGAGAAAAGAACATGGTATAACTCCACTAGTTGAAAACAGAGTTTTATATATATATATATATATATGAGAAAATCAAAATCTAAGAAACAATCGCTATTCAACCACCTAAATGTAAAATTAACCTAGTTATTGAGGTTTATTCGTTTCTATTTCAACAGTGCATGTAATAAAGCAATATAAAAGTCATACCCAATGCACCAAAACTGCAACTTATAGCATGATATGGTAGGGGTAATAAATTGACAATATATTCACATTATTGTATAGAGAGATTCTCACTCCGCTTTTTTATGAATGCACTTCAAAATGTATTTTTTCAAACATTAGAGCTCACTTCAATGAGTTGACCCCATAATTATGAACAAAATCTCTACCTAATTCAAATGATTAGTATTGACAAACAATATAACTGTGACAGCTGAATCGAGCTAACAAACAGCATAAACTGGACAAATGACAAATGGGACTACAGAAAATACATGTTCTAAACACAATTTCACAACTTAGTGTGCTTTCAGAGACATAACAAGATAACAAAACACTAAACAATAGAAATGCCCATGGAACTATGACAAGTGAGTACAACAACTCTGCTGCATTAGCCTAGATTCTAGGATTCTGATAAAGAGCTTTCATGTGCCCTTTTCTTTGTGAGGTTCGGACAGGTAAATCAATATATGAGATCTAGTTGATGGTTTCTTCATCCTCAAAGCTCAAGTATAATGTTTGTAGTTTGAAGCCCGAACCTTGTATGATCTCAACCAAATTGGAGGCCACCCCTGTAGCTTGTATTGTCGTCTCTTTTGTTAGCTGGGAAAGCATACACGTGGACAAAGCATTCCGTCAATTTGAGATAATATTCAAAATTTAAAGAACAGAAACACATCTTAATTGTACAAGTAATACACTTGTAGAAAGGTTTTCTCTAAAAAAAAGTTGAAATACAGTGGAAAATGTGAGGCAAATCTGTGGCTAGCATCCATGAACAATTTAGGAATCCAAGCTCATCAAATACTTTTATGTTTAAAGCCATTGCAATTCAAGGACTAGGAACATTTTGTTTACAGTTTTGGGTGCAAGTTCAACTTAAAGTGATTACCTAGACAGAAGTAACACTTGTATATTACAGTTTCATTTATGAGATGTAAGATGTAACAAGTTGTTTATGCTCACCTCAACACTTGCAATTCCCTCGACAACTTGAACTTTTAAATTGGCAATGCCTTCTGTTTCCTATAAAATAAAAAATGAAAGGTAATTGGAAAGGTTAGAACTTAGAAGGCCGAAAGTCCAGACATGATAAAACCTTTGCTTTATCGTGAAGAAAATAAACCATTGTCAATAATCAATATAGAATATTCTTGCATCCCATTAGTCAAATCCAAATATCGGGGGCAACATTGACAATTTTAATCCACGAATATAGAATCAAATTCATTTGTAGAACAATTCAATAAGGATAGATGGATCTACCTCTAAAGCATTGGTCACTGTACGAATAGCTGCTTCATTCATTGTTCCTTCTGCCTACATATTTAAGACAATCAGCGTGTTAATAAGTAGAAGCATACTTGATATAATATATAAAACAGAAATGGATGACCATGGCAATTAAAAAACATTGCAGACAATAAGATCACCCACCATGCTCAGTTAATAAGATTAGAAGTCTCAATCTAACCACAAAAGCTGAACGCATTTCTACATGGAAGTACATAAAGTATGCGATACAAGAATATAAGAACTATGTGATCCCATACTCGACGTACTGATCCTGTGATAGCCCTCTCCCTTCTTGCGGCTTCAGTCACCTATCAATATTTGACACGTCAGCAGGTATCTTAATCCAACCTACAAGTTGCCCCTCTGGAACTTGAACTGCAAAGCCACCCAAACACACACACCCATAGAGAACTATAGGGTTTAGGGTTTATGGGTGTGTGTGTTTCGGTGTAAAAATTGATGTGTTTGTAGCATTGTTGGGCTTAAATTCATGCCTATTGTTGGGCAATGTGGGAGCATAACAATGTCACAAACCAAATGAATCAGATAAGCTTGCACTATTAGTTCCAATAGTTTAAATGAATGATTCTTTTTCTATAATTTTTACAAGAAAACACCATGCCAGTTCATCAAAGAACTTAAAAACACACAGCTACAAAATCCAATTACATTTTAAAAAACAGCAAACACTACACATCCCAAAACATCAACAAACAAACAAAAAAATTCGAGTTGCAAATCCAGAACAACCCTTTCCAATTCACTAAATACATAATCATTAATTAATCCCAGAAAATGCCACTGATATCAATTCAAGCCGTCAGAGTCATGAGAACAAGCAATTGCAATGGAGGTATGGAGGTTTCCTGAACAAACTCAAAAAACAAAAAACAAAAAAAAGACAGAATTGATGAGTACCTGAAAGAACATGGTGAGAGCAGAGACGGGCTGATCAGTCTCTTCTGGAACTAGGGTTTCTTCGACGACCGACCTAACCATGTTTCTCCATCTTTGGAACTTGTTATTGTTCAGTACAAGTGCGAAAGTAGGGTTACGATTGACAGAGCTGCCATGGCTTTGACGATGAAGAGACCCAAGTGGAAAGCTCGAAGAAAGAGACGAATGGATGTGAGATTTGGATGAGCAAATCGAATTCAGAGAGGAAAATCCTGAGATTGAGGTTGAGGAGGCCATTGTTGTTTGCTTCAATTTTGTTATCGTTCCAAAATCGAAAGCTGATATTTACTGCGAGAATAGAGCTTTTTGCTACTTCCCCACCCTATGAACATAGCCAAAGAGGTAAATTACAAACCCACCTTGAGGTCTTAATTAAATTATAAATTATTTTTTGTAATTTTAAAAATTATATTACACCCCTTAAAATTTCTAATTTCATAACAAATAATTTATTTTATTAATAAATTATCAAGTTAATAGTTTTTAATTAAAGATGTTAAAAATATATTTCAATTAATAATTTAAGTAATTTTATTATTGCTTAGGAGAGCAATTATGAATTTTATTTTTTTAGTTAATTCTGTTAAATAAAAAATTTTAATAAAGAAATATTTATAATTTTTCAAACTACAA